AGCTAAGTTTAAAAATGGTTCCCATCTGTCTTGATCATGTGAAATAGCTTTATATGGAAGAAAATATTAAAATTATCACATTTGAATATTTGAAGGAAAGGTGTGGTTCTTATTGCTGATTAAATTTCAGAAAGGCAGTATGAATGACGTTTTCTTACTGTTGGTAAACTTTCAGAGTAATGCTTTGAACTGCAGTGAAATTTTTAAATAGTAGTAGGACCATTTTGCAGTGGCTTACCTGAATTCAGTGTCAATTTAAGTGCTTCTGAAGAGCATTTTTCTGTGCTTTAGTGAGTTAAAAACTTGATGGTGCTTTTTGGAAAACTGACGCTTAGCATGGAACTTTTAAATACCTGAAATAAGTCTAAGATACCTCACAGTCTTGCTTTTGAAATCTAATAATAGTTGGAGATGTAAGGTCTTAACTAGTTTGTCATTCTCAAGACTTTTAGTTCATAAATGATCTTAAATGCTTTCCAAGGGTGTATATTTGAGGTAGCATTGCAATTGGTATAACAACTTCTCCACACTTGTCTTCAGAGCAGTTGAGACAAATGCTCTGATAGTTCAGCAAAGAGCTTGGACTAGAAAGTCAGGTAGGTAAAAACACCTGCCTGTGTTGCTTTCTGTCCTGTCTTTTCTTTCCCAGCTTCTGTATAAACAACTGAGTAGCAAAATGAGGGTCATGTAGTCCATCAAAAAGCATGGATGGTTCTTTTGATGGGTGGTACTGAATTTTGAAGGCCAACAGCTCTAGCAGGTGTTGTTAGAGAATGAGAACAGGAGTTGTTTTGCTAGACTGTCTACAAGCTGGCCCTTGCTGAAATGAAGTGCCCAGCAGTAATGCTGGTGCTCTGCTCTCAGCAAGATTGGGAAGTCTGCGATAAAACTGATACATCAATGGAAACATTTCTGTTTGACACAAACAGCAGCAGGTGCTCCGTTTCCAAGTGGTACATGCAAATGCTTGTGCTCCCAAGCATCACTGAAGCGGTTTCCCTTTGAAGATGTATCTGTGTGCTATTTTGGCACGTTGTTCCCGTTACATGGCCTTTAATAACTTTCTATACTCTGAAAAGATATTCAGAGAGATCTGACTTAAATCTAAGTTCTGGTAGATACTCCCTTTGCATGTTTTTGCAGAGTCCTTGTATCAGTGTTGTTAGAGGATTAATGGATCTTCCAATTTAGTTTGAACTTCTTCCATTCACCTTCCACAAATAGGTCTCAAAGGAGAAGAAAAAAGGAAGCTTTTTGACTTTATCACCCTTCTAAAGAATAAATGATACTCTAATGTGAAACTGAAGTTAAAGGTGAGGCTTTGAAAGTGGAAGTCCAGTATAAACTACCCTTCCCAGTCACCTTTCTGACATCCATCTTCATGGCTGAAGCAAATCAGCCCACCCAGGTCAGGTGGCTGTGCTCGTGCCTGGAAGGGAGCAGAGCAGTTGAGAACCTCAGGTAATCATTTGAGGAATTTGTTGAATCACTTAGGATCCAGCACATTCCCACCAACCAAGTTGTCCTTGTGCTTGCAAATGGAACCTGCCTAAACACAGACCCATGAGGGTTGTCTTGTCTTTGAGCACTAGTAATTCTGTCTGCTTGCTGGAATGGTGCTTACTTGTTTGATATTTCTACAGAGGGTCAGTATTGTCATTAACAGGTACAAATCTTCAGGTAGACCGGAGAGGTGGTGCAGAGATTTAGAAATAAATTCTTATGCTAAATGAGTTAAAAATATTGACAATAACATGACAACAAGTAATATTTTCTGATCCAAGGTCTCTGTAGGGTTATTCAGTGTATGCCATGGTTGTTTCAACTTTGTAAGTAAGGTATATTTTTAGGGTAAGTATGGTGTTGGTGTCTTGGTGTAGGCTACAGAGAATGGGCCTTTGATTAGACATGAGGAGGGTGGCATTTTTGGTCATCAACAAGGGTAAAATCCTGCTGATTAAGTTGTTTGAACAGTTTGGTGCTTGGCAGTAACTTTAGTTCTTCAAGACACGTTTGTCTTTCTTCTTATGAATTTGTTGTCCGATCATATCGCAGGAAAAACTGAAGCATTAAATCTGGTTTTTCTCTTTGCTGGGCTTAAGTAGTGGAATCAACAATATATCTTAAAGAACCCCATAGAGGGTATGTTAAATTACTTCTCTCTTTCTGCCTTTTTCCTTGAATTTTTCTGGAGTACTATAGGGGGTAGAATAACAAATGCACTGTCAGTGTTATTTGGAGTGGGAAAATAGGTGATGCACCACAGCCTGCAGGAGATGGTCTGTTACCTATTTGCAGGGTAAGCTGACACAAAGCAATCTGTGTCTGGGTGAGTGCAATATTATTTGTTTACTTACCACAAGTTGCTAAAAAACCTCTGTACCATTAGCTTTGTCCTTTGTCTCTGACTGCCCACCACAGTGCTCAACTCTCTGTACCTCACTTACTAGCTTGGTCTAAAGATAAAAGATCTGACCACTCATTACCCACCCCCCAAACATCTGTTGGTGGAACTTGCTAATACATGTTTTCCTCTTATATATTTTATTTAACAAATTTCAATGAATAAGTGTCTTTGAGACCTCAGTCCTTTTAGCAGAATTAGCTGAAATTGTCCTGCTATTTGTGTAGTATTGCTAGTGAAATTTATACAATAAATTGTCTCTATTTTTCCTTAGAGAACCAAACTTTCTAATGTAATTTTACTAGATTTGATTGTTTCAAATATGTCCTTGCAGAGCAAAATCACTTGTCCATATGAGCAACTACTGTATGTTTTTAAAAATCTGCTTTGTATTTGATATCATACATGGATGCACTACTTTATATATACTGCTTTATCTAACAATATTTTATTTTAGGGAGCAAGTAATATTTTAGAATCAACCTATCAAAAGGATTTCTTTTTCAGTAAATTTTTGTATATTGTTTTCTTTCTTGCAGACTAATGCTCCAGTTGTATGTGGGTCTTGTAGCTGCATGTGTGCTTAGGTTTCTCCTGTATTAGATTACAGAACTGTATTGGACATGTCCAGAAATCTGTGATGGACAGGTGCAAATTGCAAGTTAGCACTAAATTACATCACTGATTGTGCCTAGTCAGTGATATGAAATGTTCCAGGCTATGGAAAATATATTCAGCTGAGATTTTCTGAAACTCAAAGGCAAGTTTAATGAAAAACATTGAAAATGTTAGTGAGAAATCAGCATCATTTTCTGGCTGAGTAGCTGTATTTCTACCTTTCCCATCGGGACAGGCATACTGCTGTGAGAAATGCTGTACAAACATATATTGAGGAATTATTTGCATGGTTTATGATCTTCCAAGAAAATATAGAACAAAGGCTGAGACAACATAAAAGTTCTGTACAGGGAGTTCTTCCTTGTAGTCTTTACAACAGCTTGGGCCCCATTATTATTATTGGACCCCATTTGGAGCTAGGTCTTTTGGTCACTTCTGTAATTGCATATTAATCTTACTTTTGGAAAAAGCTTCTACAACTTCAAGTGTAAGGTTTTAATTTTTGTTTTGGCATGAAAAATATTAAAAAGAATAAGTGTAACTTATGAGTTTGGAGTTTTAGCGCACATCACTTGTACAGATCACGGTGATTGAGGTTACTCATCTTTAGTCTGTCTTTGAGTTCATTTCGGTTGTTCTGTAGATAGATGCATATCAGCAGTTCTGCCTTTTTGCCTTTCCATGTAATTTTTCTTTCCTTCATTTCCTTCAGAATTCTTCTCAATAGGCAACATTATTTTTTCTATCCTGTTTCCTAACATGATTTGATTTCTTATCTTTTGAACTTGCACATTTTCAGGCTGTTGTGTGTCCCCGAGTTAGTGTTGTTCCTGATGTGTACATAGAAAAATGGGTGATTGTGTTTGCCACCAGGCTGACTTTTATCTGAGTTCTCAAAGGCGTGTGGTGACACTCAATGGCATCAAGGACTTCACTGTCCTCAGTGTAAGAAGGAAGTGTAGTGTGCAGAGAAAGGTCATAGGAGTTTCTAATGTGCACCTCCCACAAAAAATCTTATTTCTGTAAAGAAAAAATGGAGGTCTGATTGTGAAGGTGATCCTCTCATCTTAGGATTAACAGGTAACATTACTGAAGGCCTTAGGAAGGGGCAGAAGATGGTCGAAGTACAATAAAGGCACAATGAGAGGCTGGGTGCTAGGTGGAGTCATGCTTTGCCGACTGTGTGATGCTAGTGAGAACATTCCTCCTGTTTTTAGCTGTTGGAGGAGAAGTTCACCACTTCGTGGGAGACTTCCTGGATTGTAACTACCACAGTAGCTGAATATGTATGACACATAATGTGTCCCATGTAGGTAAAAAATACAGTTTATATGGGAGTATTTCAGTCTTGTGCATGGATAACTTGATGACTCTTCTGAACTTTTATCATCAAATTTGAAATACTACTTGCTGGCTTTCTCTGAAATGCCTTTATGCATCTTAGCTCAGTGATACCTTGCTTTGCCTACAGAAAATACAAGGTAGAATGAAAGTAGCATGTGGCATCCTAGGGCTGCAGTAATGGTGTAATTTCACTTATTACATCTCTTACCTTTAGAAGATGGAAATACCCCATAGGTAAAGGTAGATATATGAACCAGGAACTGCAAGTATTTGTTTCAATATGGTGTTCTAGAAGGCCATGAGGAGCACTTTCTTGTGTCTGCATAATCTCATTCTATGGCTTTCCTATTGTGAGGAATGATTGAGGAACATTGGAAAGGAATATATGGGGGTGTTTTTAACCACACTCTGATCTCGTGTTTCATAATCTTTTCACTACCAATTCCTATTCTTCCTTTGTTCCCTCTTAAAGCAAAATCAGTTGATACATATATTTGAAAAAGGCATTTTGCATGAAAGACACACAATTTCTAAAATTAATATTAAGAGTTAAAATGGAAATGGTCAATAATTTTCATTTCAATTTAAAAATTATTTGCTTCTAACTTGCTTAAAATACACTTATTTTTTTCAGAGACGTGGAGCAATTTCCTATGACAGCTCAGATCAGACTGCGTTGTACATTCGTATGCTAGGTAAGCATACCATTTTCTATATTGGAACTTCCAACATTTATGATTGATTTAAATAATAACTTTTTAATATCTCTGTTGAATTGATAAACTTAGCATTCTCTTTCTCCTGGATAATATTTTGGTTAGAATCTCCGCAAGAGTTTGGGTTCTTATATGTTGACTTGGGTTTTTTTTGATTGTTTGCCTTTTTTAGTTTCTTTTTTCCTGAGTTAAACATTGTGTAGGATGTTTTACTCCTATATTGAAGAAAAAGGAAAGGTATTATAATTAACACAATGTGTTTGGTAGAAGTAAAGTTTTCTAAGTGACTCATGGTTGATCTTTCTGTAATGGAATTTACCACCTCTGCATTGTATCTTTCTAGTTAAAACTGTAGCTTAGAGAACACTTATTGGAGAGTTACCACACATTCTTAAAAACTTCAGTACTGAGGCTATGAAATGTGCCAGGTGTACTTGAAATAATGATGTGATTTTAAACAATATTTTTCTTGTTAATCCTAAAGGTGACTTGAGAAAGGAAAGGGTGCTTGACAGGGCTGAGTAGTTCAGTCAGCTTACTGAGGAGTCTTCCAGAGTAGCAGGGAGATAAAGGGTAAAGCCCAGTTCAAACAAAAGAATGGTGTTGGGAGGGGAAAGCATCCAGGGGAGACCCTCTGTGGTAGTGAGTGCACAGAAGGAGTTGAGGTCATTTGTTGAGAGGAGAAAGAGGGAAGGCTCTTGCAGATCTGGCTGCCAGATTCAGTATTTCCCACACCTCTTCTGGAGGCTGCTGGTGGTGCAGATGGCATGGGGACTGTGTATGTGCTCTAAGTCTGTTCCACTGCTGTGTGATGCCACTTAATTTAAGCCACCTTGAGCTATGAATCTGTGTTGAAATGGACTATGAATGCTTGCATGATGTCTCACACAGCTCAATGAACACCAGCAGCTACTCATTACAAATTCTTAACCATCTCCAACTAAATCAGCCAGAACATGTCTTTTTATGCCCTGAGTCTTTTCAGTTTAGTTGTATACTGCACATGTTCAAGTCCCCAGAAATTCATAACTGCATTGTCTCTGAATTTAAAGTTGTAAGATATATGCATGTGTGTATAAGAATTTATAGTCCTAACCTACATATGTAGGAATATATGGTCATATATACATATAAATTCAATTTTGACTTAGCAGTTTCACTTTTTTTTCCAGTTATTTTGATTTTTTACATTTGTGTAGTTGTTAATACTGTAGCTCTGACTGTCTACTGAAGGGGTTTTGATCAGAGAATTTAATTACTTTGGGGATTTGTTAAGATGAGAACAGAAGATACTGGGTTCTAAATGTTTATTGAAAAAGCTGCTGGGTTGTTGTTGTTGTAAATAGGTTTATTTTGTTTTCAGAACTTAAAATGAAGTAGTTATGCCCATCATTTCTGCAGCAGGATTTGTGATAATGCTCAAGTAAATCTAGACAGAAGCAAAACATGGCTTCCTCTAGTTTTTGATACATGCATCTGACTGGAGAGAAAAATTTAATTTGTCTTGGAAAACTTCCACTCTTCTCATAGGTAGAACTGGAAAATATTCAGAACATGATGTTAAGTAAATTAATTTTTCATTTGTACTCTCATTGAAATTAATTATTACATAATGAGATTGATGTTTGTTATAAATAGTATAATTCTTGCTGGCATAATTCATTCATGCTGTTCTGCTATTCAGAAGCAGTAAATCTTTTAAAGGATTGACTTCCAACTTAGGTGGGGGAGGAGGGTACCAACAAGCAAACAAAAAATTGCTCATGGCATGTTTGAATCATTGTGTCGTAAATTTGTGTTTTTTTCTCACTTAACAGATATCACTTGGTTTATGCAAATGTTATCTGTACTATACTGTACAAGTTAGCAACTATTTACATATTTTTTTGTACTTGTAAATCAACTGTAAAAAAGACCAGCCTGAAAGCTGAACAGTTGGACTCATCAGTATTTAGAAACATTCATATTAGAGTAGATTCAAGGGTTAATATATTCTATTACAATTTTTTGCAAGAAATGTGAAGCATTGCTTTTCCTGCAGTATTATTAGATTTTTGGTTTTGTTCTATTTATCTTAGTGCACTTGAGCGAAATAATCTATAAGGAATCATCAGCTGTAACTTAATGGGAACTTAGGCACAGTCATCAGCAGATTTGCCTTTTACTTGGTTGGTTTTATTCCATACTAATGGAATAAATGTATCTACTAATAAAATGTACCTTGATAAGGTGTTTATCTTAGCAGACCAAAAATGTAAGGCTAAAAGTATCTACAATAACTCCCTCTGCCTTTGTTTAGTTGTGCTGGCCATGAAGTTGCTTCATTCAATGTTTTCAGGCTGTTCCAATGGTAATCCAATGGAAATTCATTTACAATAAGTAATGAGGAATTCCTGTGCTATGGCAGTGTGTCCAGGTTCAATTTAAAAGATCCTGTTTTAGGAGTATGCAAAATAAAAAGCTCACTCCTAACTGCCTTCATCAGTGTGTCGATATAAACAGGCAGCGTTGACTGTAATGACTCATCTGTCATACCCCATTCCCAAAATATACACTAAGCCACTCCCGTGTGCCTTATTTACTATTTTAAAATATAGATACAGATGCAGCATTGTAGAATTTTTCTTTTAAGACCTTGGAAAGGCTAAAACATCTGCATCACCGCAACCACTTTTCTCAGCAACTATGGGGAATTCTTAAAATATCTTGTAAGTGCTTCTGTGTAATCTTGATACTTTTCTGATTTTTCTGTTGCTTTTCTGGTTTCCTTTTCTTGTTGCTTTATATTGACTGAAAGTTTTTCTACTGTGCATGGGGTAGAAAGTGTGAGACACTGACTGCTTGTATTGGTGAGCATGCACCTCTCAGCTGCAGTTGGAGCATTTATCTTCCTTTAGAGGTCTTGATCACTTCAAATAGGAATCATTGGAGAAAATCTACTGTGTACTGTGCACGCTCTTCTCTGGTAGTTTGTTTTTATGTTTTCTGTTTGCTTTAATTCTGGCACATTCAGCTGACCTGTCATCTGTTTCTCCAACAAATTTAATAGGAATTTTAATCTGTGAAGTTATTAATTCTGTCTGAAAATCCTGCTCTTCACAACCTCATGGCTTTGACTTGAATCCTTTACCTTGAGGTGGCTGTTGTAATTTCTGCTCCCAGCTGTCCTCCATGGTCTCTGAGGTTTCTGCCCCTGCTCTGGATGGCCTCAGCTCCCCAAGCAGCTGCTGCATTGTTGCTGTGCCACACTGCAGTGTTAGGGCAGCACCAAGTATGTGCTGGGTAACCCTAACGCCCAGGGATGTCAGCTGTGGCATTTCAGCTGCCTCGTAAGTATCAGAGCTGTCCTTGTGGTGTGAGCAGGAATCTGAGACAGGGGCAGGAATTAAACAATCTATTTCAAGGTAAGTTTTGTTACAGCCCTAATTACTTTTCAGTTTTCAGTTATAGCTGCAAACCTCCCTCTTACATTCCTTCTTCCATGATTGATTTAGTCTTCAATTAAATTTTTGCCAGTATGATCTTTGTCTTAAAAATGCAAGTGATCCTGATCATGCAGGACTATTCTGGAAAAAAGTGTAGCTAAATACTCAGCCATCAGATATTGTATCATTTTTGTGCTCAGATTAAAGGTTGGAAAGGAAAGCTTCACATTTTTAAAATCTTTCTCTTGATTCCTTGGAATCAGCAAAACTCTCAAAGAGGGAAAAAATTGTTCCTGGAAGTCCAGTATCATTAAGATGCTGGACTTGAATGTGTTCCATAGAGGTAACACAGGAATCTTTCCACTGTGGCTGAAAGTGGCTCAAGAAGAGATACTTCAGATAAAAACTGTCAGTCAGCTTGCTTCCCTCCCCCAAGAAAATTTACCTATAAGCAAACTGTGGGTTTGGCTTAAAAAAATGTGTAAGCATTTCAATATGTTTGTAAGGGTCTAAATAAACAAAAGTTATTCATAAGTTCTTTTGTTTTAGGTGTTGAATTTTAATTGTCTTTTGGCTACTGTAATAATGGTTGGCTCTGCAGTTGGACTTCTGTTGCTGTTTGAAGGAATTATGTAACAGTGTCCTTTTGTTTGATGAAAGTAATCTCAAATCTGAGATATCTTCTGCTTTTTTATGAAGTTCTCTGTGAAGATAAACATGTCTCTTAAAATTAAATTCTGCATAACTTCACAGTCACAGGGTTGCAAAACACTTGTGCAGGATTTCCCAAGCAAAGTGATGTGAACATGTTATGTTGTGTGAAGGTACAATGAAGTGGGTGCATTTGGGATCCATTAATCTTCTGCAGGTTACATTAACCAAAGAGTGAATGCATAATGACGATCCAGTATTTCTGGATGTTTTGGAACTAACTATACATATGCACTAGAGATTAGTTTCACTGTGCTAATAACACATTATTTCATAATGTGCAGCCAGTTATCCCTTTTTCTACTTCTGTTTATTTAGAAACTTCAGATGGATGTATGGTATCATCAAATTCCACTTGTACCAATATTTTTCAAGTACATTTATGGTCTGAAATGTTGAAAAATGCAGCAGTTCTGTACCATGATAATGGAGGCATCTCTTTTGCTTTTGTTTTGGCACAAGAGAATTTTCTGCTTTGTTTGCTGTAATGAATTCCAGTCTTGTAGAAGGGGTATATTTTTCCAGAATAAATCCAGTTGTATTCTAAAAAAAATAATCAATTGTTGAGATATTGTTCTTCTTTTTTTTTTAATCGCTTCTTCTACCATGATTTAGGGAGAGAGAATTTTGTTCAATAACTATGTAATGAAAATATTTACCTTCCTTGCTGGGAATTCCTCATTTTATATGTATGCAAGTAAATACAATTATTTTAGCTTTTTCTTATTACAGCTGCCTTTTTCTTAGTTTGCCATGTGTGTTTTTAGTATACAATTCCTTCTTTGGCTAAATATTCCTGTAAATAGATATTCTAATCATTCCTGTTTAAAGTAATGTAGTCAGTTGCACTTCTTCATTTTACTTACAGTTTTTCTTGCTTTACTCCCTAAAGTTCTCAACATTGCAGGCATTTCAAGGGTACCAAGGATACTATTATTCAGTCTATGCTGTTAGTCAAGGGTAGTAAATGAAAAAGAACAAAGCAGAGAGAAACTTTCTGGACATCATTTATAAGATGAACCTGCTCATTTTGTTATTTGCAGAATTCCATGTTGGTCTTCAGGTATTTTTCTGTAAACTTTTCCTATTTTTGACACTTAAAACAAATTGTTTGCCACAACCTAGTCATACACTGTCTGAAACTATTTGCTGATTGGTACTGTGGTTTGTAAATTTTAAAAGTAAAAAAACCTGCATTTTAAATTAAAAATAAATCACAAAAGCTGTATCACCTTTTCTGTAAAAAATTAGCTTCACTAAAAAACCTCTTTTATTTTCTTTTAATTTAGCTGGTGAACTCATTCACACAGCTGTAGCTATGCCTGATTACCCAGATAAATATGAGTGAAAGGTAATGAAAGTCAAATTTTCCTCCATCACCCTGTTATTTTCATATACAGCTACTAATGCATTTGCCCCCTCTCTTCCAAAGTTTTCTCTCTTTTTCATTTTTATTAATTTATTTTGTAAATAAAATTCACCAGTTGCTTGTGCCTAACAGAAGAGTTCTACAATTTGCTGCCTCTGTATTGCCTGGAAGGAAACGAGTCTCTTGCACTCTGCTCAAATGAATGCTTGAAGCCTTTATAAGTAATATATTGTAAGTGGTCTGAAAATTAATACTTGGAGATAGTAATTGGGTTGCTTCCCCTTGCAGCTCAGTTAGGTTTTCAGATAAAATAAAAAAGGATTAATAACTGAAGGGCACATGTATTTACTATATTTTTACTGATGTGTAAACTTTAAGGGAGCCCTGGGCCTGCTTACCCTTTTGTGGTCCTTCCAGCATGCCTCACAAGATAACATTCATGTAAAGTGCATCACTGTAGATGTGTCAGTGTTTATAGATATGTATCTCTAGAAAGATACCTGTTAGGTATTTAAAAGCATATTTACTGAAGTGTAAGTCAGTACCTTTAGCTATTTTCTGATAAGTTGACTGCTTCAGCGATACACTTTGCAGGTTAGAAAAGAAAAAATGGAAAAAAATGCTCTCAAGATGCCTATGACTCGATGAAAAATAAATAGCTGTATTTTTATTTAGTTCTTATAAACTCAATCATAGTGCTTTTTGTTAATTACTTATTTTGGTTTCATATGGGAAGTGCTGTGTTAGAAGTGAGGCAAATACGACACTTGATAGATTTTCATAATTAGAAACCACAACATTTGCACATCTTAAATTTATCTTTGTTAGGGTTTGAGGAGGGAAACAGTATTGCATTTGATTCTCAAAGATTTCTCCAAATTTGTAATTACAAAAGGATTTTAAGTGAAAGTTTTTTATGCAGGTGAACTGCTTATATTCATACGTACAACTATCTAACAAAAGAATACTGATCAGCTTTCAGTTGGTAAAATGCATAAGTAGAAATCAAGTAGCATGCTAAAAGATTGAGGTTGAAGCTAATTACAGTGCAAAATAGTTTGATCAAATTTTAATACTGAGTTTTGGTATTTTAATAGGCTCTTGTGTAATATTCAAACAGCTGAGCGCAAGTAAGTAAATGCTAGTGGGAAAATATTATATAATATAAAACCATATTGTAACTAGCTTCTTTGCTGAAAGCTACCATTTCTAGAAGTTGAATCTTTTTTGTATTCTACAGAATGTTACTGTTGTATGTGTGTTACTGAGGAACAAATCAACTTTAAATGTTCTTGTTTTCTGTCATATTAAGGTGCATTTTTACCATACTGGTGTAGCAAGCTCTTCCTAATTTCATCTGAATGCTTATCACATGCTTCTGGCAACGTATGCTTAGGCAGGAGAGATTTTGGCAAGAAAGCATGTGATTGCATGTTTAACAAGTCTTCAAACTTTGTTTTGAATTTCACCTTTAAAACAAAAAGCATTGAAGTAGGCCTATTGTTTGAATTACTCTCCTCCATTAAGAACATGAATCTTTACCCCTCCAGGCTATGTTCATTTGCATTTTATCTCTGCCACTCTTCCACACTTTTATTTCACTCTTGACCCTGTTTCTAGGAGATGTGCGAGTAAGAAGTCGGGCAGGATTTGAAACAGAGAGAAGAGGTTCTCATCCATACATTGATTTCCGTATTTTTCACTGTAAGTATTTAAAAGCAGATAAATGACAAATAAACAAAGGCTTCCATCAATTTTAAAAACTGAGCCTCTAAAGTAAAGTTAGCAGCTCTTATAGCAAGATGATTTTTTATACTTCTTAGGAAAATCTTTCATTCTAGTTCATTACCAAATGTAGAAGAGGAAAATCTTCACTACTAAATATTTTTTTAAAAAAACTATAATTTTAAACTCATTGAGTTTAGACCTGAATCCATATGAAAATGAAGATGTATCTTCTAAACAGCTACTGATGTGTGTGCTGTGTGCTTACTTGGCAGACACAATCAGTTGAGGAGAATACTTTCCGTTTTTATAAAGCACTAGAAAGGCCCTGTCCAGGATGATGATTGAACAGAATTACAGTAATGTCAATATTCTTGACCTCATCATAATGAGTTAACATTTACATCTACTCAGGTGCGTAGCTAGGACTTAAATTTTTGGACAGAGACAGATCTTAAATAAAAATTAAAGTTCTAGGAGAAAGTGGCAGCCTAAATTCTTTTGATTATGTGTTTGAGGAATCTTTTATTTTTTTCAGAAGTGTTACAAGAAGAATATTTTTGTAGAGAAAAAAGTTAAATTATCCATCCATATTGTTACAACTAAATTTGTCAGTAGTTGTAATATAAAGTTTTGACACCATCAAACCAATATGCAGCAAAAATGCAGGGGATCTGAGTCTTAATTAAATTATGCCAATAATTAAGGTATTAAGTGCCATAAAGGATCTATACCAGCATTGTATCAGCACAATTCCAACTATTCTGAATGCAATGGAGAGATTTAGTAAAGCCGATTTTATGGTAGTAAGTGTGGTTGTTGTAATTACCTTATGAATAAAAATGAGTGGCAGAAACTGGTCTTATACTCTGATCTTAACTGAAGTTATAATTTTGAAAAATAGATAATTTCTAAAACTCTTAAACTCTTAGTTTTGTTCAAAAGTTTCATGAAAATAGGTGAGAAAACAAAGTTTGAAGAGTGTGCTATGTAGATTTTTTTCAATATAGAGGATAAGAATTTCATCTCAAGTCCTGATTGAGTATAATAAATTCTCTGCAGAAATAGCATGCAATTTATGAAGTACATAATTGTCTTTTTGTGTATATATATATATATATATCTGTGTGGCATTTCATGCTGATATAGGAAAATACTAACAAGTATTAAAATAACTGCCTGTTAAAAGGCAGCCAACATATGATATTATTGCTGTTTTCAGATTAACTGTTTTTTATGGTCCTCATCACACTTTTTCTTTCTATCCTGATGATTGTGCATCAGGCAGATCATGACTAGTCAGGAAAAGGATTTTCACACCCTTTCTCCTTGCCCCTACTTGTTGAGACACAGCCACCAGCTTTTAGCAACACCACCTGTGGTGTTTAATGACAGCAAAAAATATTGCTAGGAGGCCCAAAAATTTCTTTGGCTTTAACTTCCTTCTCAGGTCAGTTCATCTGTTAGTTTTCAGAGTTGTCATATTATAGTCAGATTTTTTGCACTTCAGGACTGTAGTTTGTTGAAGAGGTGCTCTTTGACTTCCGGGCTCCTGCCACATTGTGGAGTTTCTTTCAAAGTCAGGAATTCAGCACAATCTCTCACCATATTAGTAGGTTATCTAGTACTTTACATAAATGTGGGATTCTTTTTTATCCATAAAAATATTTTTTAATGCAATGATAATTTAGTCCTGATCAGTGTTTCCTTAATTGTTTTAAGTCTAAGAGATTTAGTAATGCACTATGAGACTGCCAGTAGAGAGAAGTTGCAGGAATCAGACTTGACCTAATTTTTAGGATAGTCTCCCTGCCCGTTCCCCTGCCCTCTCCTGGTTACTTCAGAAGGAGTTGATTTTTCCACACAGAGGTAAATGTGGCAAAATGTAAATGACTGAAAAATACTCACCCATTCGAGCAATAACATGTGAGAGGAGTCAGTTGTCTCTTCTTTCCTTGGGGCAAATACTGAACTGGAAGGGGTCTCTTTAGCTGAAGCAGACTAAACCATCTGAATGTTGCTTTTTTTTTTTTTCCTCCCCACCACAGCTGTATCCTGAACATCAGTAATGCATGGACATGCTTTCTCCATTGTGTTTGTATAGTTCCACTGTAAATGTCTTGTACTATCCACTAGCTATATTCTGTGGTTCTAAATTGTTTGCAATGATCATTGCTTATGTGTTTTGCAGAGGATTTATATAGTTGCTGTCAGTCACAGTGCTGAAGCATTAGTGCTGTTCTGTGTTTTGCTTAGCTAACTTTGGTTGTTCAGCATTGTTTTCTTTTTCTGTCAATGATGTTTGGAGAAGAGGTTGAATATCTTTCAGGAGGGGTAGGTAATAATATGCTGACTAGTCTCTTCTCTAATATTTATTGATAGGCTCTTAACCCAGTATTTTACTGATAGGTTGGAAGAGTAGTGAATTTTAAATGCATTACTTTGCTTCATAACTATTTGAACTCATAGCTTCAACCAGTGTTGCTGAAGTGAAGTTTATCAGCACTTATTTCTAAAGATTACTTCTGTATCTTCTTGGGCATTATAAGCTCAGCATCGCTATCTTCATCCCAGAATTCTGTAATTGATACATGAATATTCAAGTTTCTAACCTGTCCAGAAGTATTCTCAACAGTAACTTTTAGGAAGTTTGATTTTAGGAAGATGGTTGGAAATATATTGTTGTTGTTAGGACAGTGGAATGGGAGTAATATCTGAGCTTTATTAAATGCAGGATTTCACTGATGATTAAGCTAACTTTGTTCGATGGTAGTTTTCCTAATGCATTATCTGTTATTCCAGCAGTCTCCTTTTTATAGGTAATTGCAGGAACTACCAAGAAGAATAGCTTAATAAATTTTTGTTTTAACAACACTGCTTCCTGGTGAATGGGCAAAGTGAGGATTATATTCTTCGTGTTGGTTGGCAGCTGGTTAATGTTATCAGTTAGTAGGTTTTCTGTTACTGTGTTCTGTTGGTTATGCCTGAGTGGGACCATGGGCATAACGTCAAGATGACATCTTAAATCCACCATTTCTGGAAAGGAGAGAGCAGCCAACTTTATTCCTCTGAATTTCTTCCTCAGCTTTCTTCCTCTGAATTCACTGTTGCACAGTAAAATGCATACACTGTAATGTTTTATTGAAGAGACTGTAGAGCATTGGATCTACTTTTGACTCCCTGAGAAACAAGAAGAGAGTTTTGCAGTTCGCTTTGAGAATGCAACATGTACTGTTTGGTTTTCAGGGAAGCTATTGAAGAAGTGATTGCAGTGGTTATAATCTTACTGTCTTCTGGTTTACCAGTAGGCTGTGGTTTACACGAATACTTCAAAATTTTCTTTACATTACTTGAGACATCATATCCAGTAATTCAGTCTTCAGTGTTGTCAGAATATGTTGATAAAAGCTAATGTGAAACAAAATCTTTGATAGAAGAATTGGTAAGTGACAAGATAAAAATAATCCTTTATTTCAGAAATAGTAAACCAGTAATAAAGTTTTAGGCTTTGCTTTCTTGCTATTGAGAGGTTGTCAATAGTGTCTATTTTTTATATATGTATGTATGTATGCACACTACACATAAGAAATTTTGATTGTTGGAGGTGTTCCTAGCATGCACAAAGAAAGGCATATATAATGTGCCCTAATCATTCTCTGTTTCTCCTGAAAAAAACCCCAAACAGTGAGTGTGCACAGTGATATGTACAGTATGTTATAGTGAGGAAGTGAAGCCAAAATGAATAAAGATAAAATGAATAATTAAGATAACATAAAAATATTGAGAAATGTCATATGCCGATACAGCTGAAATTAAAGCTTTTAAGCTTCCTTTTAGGAAAGGATTGTTGGATATAGTCTGGAGGAACCACACAGGACAATGAATACTTTGGTTTTGCAGAGAAAAAACATGGTTTTCTTCTTGTTTCTCCTGTTATGCCTGGCCTAGAATAAGTAAGATCTTGTCAAAAAGGTTTTTAGAATTCTCTCATGCCAGTCTCATCTGAGCATGCTTCTGTGGGGAGATGATGATGCCATTACATGGGTGGCCTCTGTTTTGTGTTTTATAGATAACCAAATCTGTCACATCTGTGAGTTAAAATATCTTAGAAAGAAGAAGGGATTTTGAATTAGTCAGTATGTGTTTGGTAACATTCAGGAATGCTCAATTTTGAAGAAAATAGTTGCTTGCAGACAGCGTAATGGTACAGTATAAGACTTCATCGAGACTTAGATGATTCTCCTTAACTGTGTATTGGAGCCTTTTTAGGGGGAAATGGAAAGAAAGGAAGAGATATTTTTATAGGTGATGGATAAATCTAATTCTCTTCCTTGAGAGTGCAAATACATGATGAAATTTCAGAGTTTACCTTCATTATACAACCTTCAGACTGTTTACTTGGAAATTACCATTTGTGGAACGTATTATAAGCTATTCTGAGATCTGGCAAAAATGTCAGCATGTGCTGTTTCAAGGATGTTTTTAACTTTCTGGTTCTTAGCTCATGTACCATTTGAAAATGGTTACCTTGAACAGTGAGTTTAGACTTCCCTTGGCTGAGATTCCGGAATTCAAAGAAGAGACAAGAGTGCAAATCCAGATGGATTGCCTGAAACAATTTGAAAAATCCTTGTAGCAGCAGCTAATGATGCTTTTGGTGATACCATCTAAAAGATTGAGATAAACTAAGCAGAGTCCAGATTAATTTCAATGCCCTTTCTGTTTCAGAAAATAGAGGAATTACCTATTTGGTTATGTTTAACAGGAATTATCTGTCTTGTTCAGCAGTCCACTGTGAAGAAGGGTGAGTTTCACAATGAGTAAAGTAATGCAGGAAGATTTATGTGATCATAGCTTGAAGTATTTGTTTCCTTTTGAAAATGCCATCACTGAGGAGTAAAAAGCTTGTACTTGAGAGATTACTTCAAAAGCTGCCTTTCTGTGAATAATACAGTACTGAATTTGTCTTCTAATTATTC